TTTACATTATTTTTGTCATAGGGAGTTGTTAAATTTTGGGAACCTAGCTTGGCACTGTAATTCCACAGTGCAATCTATACTGGGCTCAAGCACCACTGCTGAACACTCTTCAAACCCAAACACACATACAACATTGCAAGGACAGCAGAAGAAAAATATCCTGCTATGTTAGTGGCCAGGGCACAAGAATGGGGTGCATAAGAAACCATGTGGGGTACAGAATACAAGCATCACCTCATGGTTCAACGCAACCTGTTGTCTCCCCCAGTGGTGAGATTTTCTGTAATGTTTAATTTTTGAAATGAGAGAAATCAATGCTCCAGGAAGTTTCCATTATCACATTCCTAATTTTCTTTCACAAATGCCAATTTATTTATTTATTTGGAGCATTTCTATCCCGTCCTTTTCACCTCCGAAGAGGGACTCAGGACGGCTACCAGCAGGCACCATTCGGTGCCAAACAATAAATAACATAGCATAAAAAATACTTTGCAAACATTAAAAACAATTAAAAATATGCATTAAAAACAGTTCGTCATTTCAAGTCGTCTTCCAAATCAATCCATTGCCAAATCAGCATGGAGTCCTCATTGTTAAGAAGTATTCTGACCCAAAGGCTCATTCCAATTCATTTGTGCTCCACCAGGATGGAGACAGTTCAGTTTGTAGTTAGTCCTTATATTTTTAAGTCTGTAGGCTTATGCTTTGGCCCTCAGCATTCATAGGGGTAGTCCAGGTGAAACCTAAAATAAATCACCTCATTACCCAGGGACTCATTTGTCTGCAGAATCCTTCTATTTCAAAACATCATACAGATACCATGACCAGCATCAAGCCAGATTTCTATACCCACCACACTCTGCTATATGAGAAAGAAATCTTAAAACTGTAACACACAATGTTGTGATCCTCTGGTTAGGCTAAAATAACATGAACCCTGGAATGGGTGGCCGGGGATTTTAGGGGAGACAGAACTCCACCAGAAATGATCTGGCAAAACTGAACTACCAAAACACCTATGCAGTTGAGCCTTCTCGGGCATTATCAATCAGAATTATATTAATTATATTAAATGATCGATTGCTAAGAAATATTAATGCAGCTATTATTATTGAGCCCTCTGAGGAGTAAAAATTGCTATAATCTATCCTATCCTCATATATCCTTACTTGGGAATAAGCTACACTGAACACATAAAGGGTATTTTTAAGTACACATGGAGTTTTTAAGAGTTTTCATATTTAATGATGTTTCAATGATAATGGATGAGAAAGGTAATTTGCCTGCCCTGCCTCCCCAAGTACTCATAAGTAGGCAAAATCAGTAACAATCCATCCTACCAGTGTTGACCCACAGAGAGAGAGAGAGAGAGAGAGAGAGAGAGAGAGAGCTCTGGGATCCCTATAATAAAAGTACTAAATTATTATAGAGATAATTAATCTACATAGTGGATTTTTAACATACATGCTATGTGCAGGGCTAGTCCTGAGCATCTGTTAGAAGTTCTGGAATGAAACATATAGTGATCGAAACCAATCTCTACATATCTTTTGTGTTTCTTGGATTTTGGTGAGTGCATGAATCTGAGATAGTTTCATCTTCAAGTCCATGTCAGGCAAATACAGTGGATCCCAACCTGTGGTCCGTGGACCACCAGTGGTCCGCAAGAACGAAAATATAGTCCGTGGCCTCACCATTACGATGCAGTTGCCTTGAAACCATGCAGCAACTAGAGCGACTGGTCTCGGGAAATCCTCTTGTAGTGCCAACACAACAGGGATGTCAGGAGGGGAGAGGCTAACTACCCACAAAAGATTACTACTGCCACACCAGCTCTAGATTATTAAATATGGTTTTCTGTGGGTGAGCAGATGGTGACTACTGGATGGCAGGTGTTCTGTATCGGAAACTAGAGCTGATGTGATCTATCCTATGCATTTTTCTGAATCAGCACCCTAAATAACCAAACTAAATCTAAAGTTGACTAAAAACTGGTTCGTAACCCTTTTAGTACTAATATTGGACAGTGGTCCCTGGTCAAAGTGGCCCCTGGTCAAAAAAAAGGTTGGGAACCACTGGTCAAATGGGACAACATAACCACTTCCTAAAACACACTTTTTCCTCTGTTTTCTATAGATTTTTATGTCTAAGGATAACTTCACCACTAAATGTCCTACTATCTCACTACATTATGTTGTATCCGCAAAGTTAACAACAAGCAGATACATTATTTTATTCACAAGCCTGCATCTTAGAATCAGTTTGCTGGCTTCGATTCCATTATCACACCACTCAAGCATAAAACTTGGTGTTGGAAGCAGAATTCAGCATCCTAAGAATTTGTGTTCAAATACCAAAATTGTAATCTTTATGGCCACAAAGAGATGCTTCAAAATATGTGGACCAAATGACAGTTCATAGCTATGGGTATGTTCATGCCAACAGATGCTCCACTATATTTTGCAATGTTTCCAAAGGCCTACGGCTAGAACACAATAAAATATTATGGAAACACTGAGAAAGCAGCATGGGCCCAAACAGATTTTTTAATCAGCATTGGATTATTTGGGAGGCCCAAATAATCTTTGCACTTCCCTATGACAAACAAATAAACAATGAATATTTACAACTAATCATCTGAACAGTTAATTGGTGACAATTTTCTAAAACCAAACACATTAAACAACGAAAAGCTGGAATATGAAGCCAATTCCAGTTAAAATGTGCACATATCCATATGTAAAACTGATAATGGTGTGCAATGCACAAAAGAAGAAATAAGAAACTGATCCCAAAAGAGAGTGAGAGCACACACTGCATAAGTCGGTTGATTTATCAAGCAGTAAATTACACTTCTAAAAGGAAATACTCTCTAGTTCCACCTTATATGAAATATAACCAATACTACCCTATACAAGCAGAACCAATGATGCAGAATATAAGCAAACTTCCTTAATATGTACAGTTTATATAACCCATACAATTTATCATTCCTTGGTGCAAAATTCCGATTTGTTGTTGAGGCTGAAATAGAAACCACAGAGAGCGCACTCTGCAGCATAGTTTCAAGTGTCCTTGACTGTCCAGAAGGGCCTTAATTACAATCCAGGCTTTTAAAATCCTGCTCTCCACTTCCTAACCAAGCATTCTGTTTTTGTAACCTATACCACATTGCCTTCAAAATGTGCCCACAACTGTATCTAATGGGCTTGAAAAGGCCATGGTGGTGCCAGCTAAATTAATAGCAAAAGCTCTTTGGATTCCTCAAGAAATCCTGTTCCTTCTCTGTAATGAATGCCGTTTATTTCAAAGCATTTGTCCTTACTTAGAACACCATCAAATATGCAATAGACCAGAGAACTGCTCATCTATCAAAGAATTAAAAACATTCTAAAAGCAATCTACCATGACAAATGTTTAGTCGCAAAGTTCAGATGGGGCAATGTAGTCCTGGGTGTTCTTTTCTATCAGTGATATAAAACAGTGCTATTAAATGTGGTGGTCCATGGGCCAGTAGTGGTCCATGAGCCAGTGGGCACAAATACAATGCATGTGCTTAGCATATTGGAGGAAAACATTACTAGCCCTCCATAATGCCCTAAAAAGCATTGAGATAAAGACACCATGCAATAGGTGCTTGTAACTCTATATCCAACTAATACATTCCCAGGAATGATAGTCTAGTGATGCTGGAATCTGGCTGATGGAATAACATATAACAAGCATCCTCTACTTCCTGTTTGATTTTCGGATCTCTACAAGAAATGGTGGAAAATGCCTGTTTCCACATGATACCCTATGTTTGAGAAAAAAAACCCTTTATACCAGAGGAGCCACCAGTGGTGCAGCAGGTTAAACTGCTGAGCTGCTGAACTTGGTGACCGAAAGGTCAGAGGTTCGAATACGGGGAGCGGGGCAAGCTCTTACTGTTAGCCCCAGCTTCTACCAACCTAGCAGTTCAAAAACATGCAAATGTGAGTAGATCAATAGGCACCGCTCTAGTTGGAAGATAACGGAACTCCGTGCAGTCATGCCGGACACATGGTATTGGATGTGTCTATGGACAACACTGGCTCTTCGGCTTAGAAATGGAGATGAGCACCAACCTGCAGAGTTGGATTTGACTAGACTTAATGTCAATGGAAAACCTTTACCTATTTATAACAGAGGTAGGCATTTTGTGACTTTCCAGGTTTTTTTGTCACTCATCAGTTGGTATGCTAGGTAAGGTTGAAAGGAAGTATGATCAACAACATCTGGAAGATCACAAATTTTCAACCCTACTTTGACCAATGGCTAAATTAGATGTGAACATGGCAGATGTGTGTATTCAAATATGAAAGCACTGCACAAATGGATGTGTGCGTGTGCATGTAATTTAAACAGTAAAGTGAATGAAAGGATGAGAAGTCTAATTGTAGATTTTTCCAAAAGGGACCAAATCCAAGAATTTGAAAAGTTAGTCATAGGTGGCTGCACATTCTTGGCTAGTAGTAGAATATTATGGACAGATCACAACTATCAAAATGTATCAAAACACTTTGGTACAGGGTTTGGAAAATTGCCCCTTATAGCATATACTCAGCATGTTATTACCCAAAACTGTAAAGTTTGTTCAAATGCATTGGGTATCCTTTGGGGGAAAAGTATCACATTTTTTTTTTCCTTTCTCAGGAGGTATTCTTTCAAGCATGCTTCAGTACTAAAGTTCAGCAGAGTAGAAAACCATGCAGAGGGACAGATTGCAGGGAAATGAATCTGTACCACTGATGCTCATCCCAGTAAACCTTCACCTTATGTTTCAGGGAGATCTATATGTATACTATCATCATGTAAGTTTGGCTTCCAAGTGATTTGAAAAACAGAGAAGAACACTGGTTTCCATTTTCTGTTGAAGTGTTCTTTTCAGTAAAGAAGCTGGAAAACTGCTAAGACATAGTCTCCTTCTGGAAATTGTTCCTCATGTTGTGGTGACCCCCAGTATGAGCTAATGTACAAACCTCTCTTTAAGCTCTTGAATATTGGACAAGATTTCATCCTTTTCTACCCTAGCTCTAGCGCTAAGGTTCTCAGTCTGCAGCCTCTCCAAGTAATCTTCAACATCTGTTTAGGGGAGAAGTTACAAAACAGGAAGGGAGTAGAATTAATGTATGTATGTATGTATAAATAAACAAATAAATACAAAAATAACAGGCAACATATCAATTCAACAATAAAGAACACAGACACAACAACCTAGATCAGTGGTTCTCAACCTTCCTAATGCCACAACCCCTTAATACAATTCCTCATGTTGTGGTGACCCCCAACCATAAAATTATTTTAGTTGCTGCTTCATAGCTGTAATTTTGCTGCATCATAATGTAAATATCGTAATGTAAATATCTGATATGCAGGGTGTATTTTCATTCACTGGACCAAATTTGGCACAAATACCCAATACGCCCAAATTTGAATACTAGTGAGATTGGGAGGGATTGATTTTGTCATTTGGGAGTTGTAGTTGCTGGGATTTATAGTTCACCTACAATCAAAGAGCATTCTGAACCCCACCAATGATGGAACTTGGCACACAGAACTCCCACGACCGACAGAAAATACTGAGAGGGTTTGGTGGGCATTGACCTTGAGTTTTGGAATTGTAATTCACCTACATCCAGAGAGCACGGTTGGCTCAAACAGTGATGGATCAGGGCCAAACTTCGCACGAATATTCAATATGTCCAAATGTGAAAACTGATGGGGTTTGGGGAAAATAGACTTTGACATTTGGGAGTTGCAGTTGCTGGAATTTATAGTTCACCTACAATCAAAGAGCATTCTGAGAATTGGGCCAAACTTCTCACATAGAACCCCCATGACCAACAGAAAATACTGTGTTTTCTGATGGTCTTTGGTGACCTCTCTGACACCCCCTTATGACCCCCTCAGTGGTCTCCCACTCCCAGGCTGAAAAACGATGACCTAGATTATGCAGTTAGAAGGGAGAGATACTTCAATGAACACATTTCCAGAATATATTCACAGCATTAAAACTTTTATCAAATGTTAATTGCATTCATGCTCTCCCCCAATTAGATGGCCATTTTCCCCCGAAAGGGAGGAAGACAGACAAATATTATCCATAAATCCAACTGGCTAGTCCCAGGTAGTCTAGGCCCAATAAATCAATAGGAACCTGATAAATCTGTGTAAATTCCATTAATTCAGTGGGTTTACTCTATTTAGAGGTAACACAGTTGGATTTGGTCCAGTTGTGCGGAGATGATTTTTCGTAATTTATACAGGCCACAATATTAATTTTTTCTTGTTTTACTATGCCACCAAAAAGAGCCAATGTGATATAGTGGTTTGAGCATTAGACGACTCCAGAGACTGGTTTGAATCGTTGTTCAGCCACGGAAGGTCATTAGGTGTACTTGGGCAAGTCATACTCTCTCAGGGTCACAAGAAGGCAAAAGCAACCCCTCCCCTCCTGAACAAAGTCTTCGTAGAAAAACCTTGTGACAGGCTAACCACAGGGTTTCGATAAATCTGAAATGACTTGGGGTGCATCTACAGCAGGCCTGGGCAAACTTCGGCACTCCAGGTGTTTTGGACCTCAACTCCCACAATTCCTGTTAAGAATTGTGGAAGTTGAAGTCCAAAACATCTGAAGGGCCAAAGTTTGTCCATGTTTGATCTACACTGTAGCTTTCATGCAATTTGTCATCTTTTTACCTTCCATGGCACAATGTTGTAGAATCCTAGGAATTGTAGTTTGCCGAAGCACCAGTCTTTCCTTGACAGAAAAGACCCTGTAAAACTACAACATCCATGTTCCCATCGCATTATGCCATGGTCGTTAAATTGCTCCCAAACTGCAGCCATTCTACAGAGTAGACGGATCCTTGGAGGCACACAACAATGAATACAGAAAATAATAAACCTGTACTTGAAAGCTATTTCTGTACATTAATTTTATTTTCTACATTGGAAGCTATTTCTGTACATTAATTTTATTTTCTACATATAGTCTCACAGCTTAGGGCTCCATATCATCACATGGTTTTATTATTTGGTACCACTTCGGCAAGAAGATAACAGCAGTCCATGTAGTCATGCCAGCCACGTGACCTAGGAGGCATCTACAGACAACGGCGGCTCTTCGACTTAGAAATGGAGATGAGCACCACCCCAAAGAGTCAGACTCAACTAAACTTAATGTCAAGGGAAAAGCTTTACCTTTACTATGGGTACATAAAATAGAGAGACACATTCACTGCAGTATGTGCCTTGCATTTTTTAAAAATGTGCACATTTTAAAAAAATGTGTAAAGTGACTCTTACTTCAGTGCTATATGAAAACAATGAGTGGATTGTGGTATAATAAAAATGTCAATCACTTCTGCAAACTTCCAAGTCCAGCCCTCCCCTCCCATTCCCATTTCCAGAGTGTCTACCATGTTCATAGCACCAGGAAATGAGATAGAAAAGCCTGGTCATAAAGTTTCAGAGTGGATCAGGAAGAGCGGCATGTAAACCACTTAAGATTAAGTTGTGTTAGTTTTACTGCTTGTCTGTGATGTTATGAAACATAAAGAAAGAACTCAGACAAGCAATCTCAGTGCAAATACTCCACAGGGAAGAAGAATACAAAGGATAAAGAAAAGAAAAAAACGGAGAAAAAATTCACAAATTACATCTTACGCTGAGCCTAATGCTTAATTTGTAAGGAGAAATGCCACTATCTGGTTAGTGAAACACTTCCGTAAGTGAGGCCCCTTCTACACTGCCATATAAAATCCAGATTATCTACTTTAAATTGGATTATATGCCAGTGTAACCTCATATAATAAACCAGTTCAAAGCAGATAATGTGGTTTGATATTCTGGATTATATGGTAGTGTAGATGGGGCTTCATAATGCAATACTATACAGAATATCCTTTAGGGCGGCAAAAAAGTGTCTGAGATGGGGCCACCCTAACAAATTTAAAGAGACAGAGATCATAAATGTTACTTGAATACCTATTAGAAGTACAACTTTGAACATTATTTGTGAAAATTCACACATTTTTAAATATGGGGATTTTTATAAAATCATAGTGTGCTACTCATTACTTTGACTTATGACAACCCTATGAATGAGGGAATTCTAATTCACCCTATCCTCAACAGCCCTGCTCAGGTCTTGCAGACTCAAAACCATAGCTTACTTGACAGCCTATCCATATCTGGAATGTGATCTTCCTCCTTTCCTATTGCCTTCTACTTTACCAAGCATTATCATCTCTTCTAGTGAGAAAATAGATGATATCTATTTTCATGATATGGCCAAAGTACAACACTCTCAATTTAATCCCCTTGGTTTTCTTAAGAACCATTGAATCGTCTTTTTAGCATTCAACAGTATCTGTAGAACTCTTCTCCAGTGCCAGGTTTCAAATTAGTTTTCTTCACCATTCAGCTTTCCCAACAATACACAGAAATAGGCAATACAATGGCATCGACAATCTTAACTTTAACATTCAAAATAACCTATCTAGCAGACCACTTTTTATTTTTTTAATAGAAAAATGGCCAAGATCCCCAACGAAAACTCCTCCAAAACACATTTTGAAATCCATCTATCTAGGTATATAATAACATGAATGTATGTATGGGAGCGGCAGAGTATGTTTGCGGCAGCTTTCCTAATGGCTCCCAATTCCAAAGACCACTGAGACCCCCACCAACAATGGGTCTGTACCAAACTTGCCACACAGAACCCCCATGACTAACAGAACATACTAGAGGAGTTTGGGGGAATTGAGCCACCTGGGTGGGAATTGCTGTTCATCCTGCATCCAGACAGCACTCTGAAACCCACCAATGATGGATATGGACCAAACTTGGCACACAGACCCAACATGGCCAACTTTGAATACTGGTGAGGTTTGGCGGTGATTGACCTTGCATTCTGGGAACTGTAGTCAGAGGAGGCCCTAGGTAATTTTCAACTGCAAGCAAACAATATTTTGGCACCCCCCACCCCCCTGAAACAATCACTGATATATATTTTCTGTTCGTCGTGGGAGTTCTGTGTGCCAAGTGTGGTTCAATTCCATCATTGGTGGAGTTCAGAATGCTCTTTAATTGTAGGTGAACTATACATCCCAGTAACTACAACTTGCATATGTTAAGGTCTATTTTCCCCCAAGAGCGCCTCAAGAGCGCCCCTGGGCAAAATCAACTATACTGTAAATGCTTACTTTGCGTAATGGGTTGAGCCGCCCCTGAGTGTAGTTCACCCGCATCCAGAGAGCACTGAAACCAGCCAATGACGAATCTGGACCAAACTTGGCATACTGGCCAACATGGACAACTTTGAATTCTAGCAGGATTTTAGGGTGATTGCCCCAGGATTTTACAAATTGTAGTTCACCTACATCCTTATGCATTTTCTAATGGGAGCATTCATAAAAAAACAAAAGCAAAGGCTTTTTCTAATAAATAGCATTACAAATTACCTAATCCAAGTATCACTGTGTACCCAAGCTAGTAATAAATAAATGTTACTCATTACACACATACCCACAAAAGAACAGGACAGTACAAGTCGTTATACTGTTTCATAAAAGGGGTGTTGTTATACCTCTCCATCTCCCCAAAATGCATTACAAGCAACACTGTTATTTTCAAGTTACTTGCAAGCTTAGAAGAGTACATAGCACCATTCCTCAATATGGTTCTGTTAAAATGCTTTGGCCACAATTCCCATGATTACCCAAAGTTGTTTGGGCTACAATTCTCATTTCCCCCCAATATTGACCCTGCTGACTATTGACTGGTAGCAGAACCATGTGGGGAGCACACATTGGGGAAGGCTATTGTACAGGAAATATTTTCCGATGAGTACACACATTCTGCAGATCTGTTGGGATTATGGGACAGACTTCTACGCAGCTTCCATCCTTAGCTGTTCTTATTTTATAGTCAACTCCTAATACTTTGTTTGTATTGTAAACGAACTCCCAGCACAAACACAAAATTGAAAGTCTACACATGCAAAATATCAGTACAACCCAGTTTCCTGATTTCTCATCTGTCTTCTAAATGATATGATCGCTTCTGACGACACATTAGGCTGAACTGGCGGTTGACTCAAGAGCCTGTCTCTCTAGCTTGTGTAGATGGAACATACCTTTCCTATCAGAAGGCCTAGAGACTCTGCAGATTGTTAAAGACGCAGCAAGTTTGATGTAGGAGAGCGTGACATGCAATTAATCTCCATTCATAGCCTGCTCGACTTGTCAGGAGAGGAAGGCTCCTTCTTTAGAAGGGGATCCGAAGACTTCAATTAAAAACAGTCAGCTAACAAGAAAATAATCTAAGCTAAAGGAAAGGTGGCAGGTGCCGAAAATGAGTTGTTTACAAGAACTGTCAGTTTGGAACAATAAAGCACAGGGGCTCAAAAAAAGAGTGAAATGAGCTGACTGCACCACATCCTCCAATTTTTAAAGGAGGAGATGAAACCCACATATTCAACTGAGGGAGACAACCAGTTTGAAATGAAAGATGTAATCGTCCAAGGCAAAAATAATGAACAAATACAAGTCACCATAGCTTAGTGCTGAAAAGCTGCTTTTTAGTACCTTGACTTTCCCTTGAGACATGTCAAATATTGGCAAAGAGTGCCTACAAACACATGCAGTCTTTCACCCCCTCAATAACCCACTCACAATCTTTGCATTCTAGTTACAAAAACTCACTTGAAGGCTACATTCCTGCAGTCCTTCCCCCACTGAACAGTAGACAGACTCGAAACTACCTACAGTATTCAGCAGAGGAATCTTTTCTGGTGTTGGAGATTAAAAAAAACAGCAAGATAATCCCACCTCTTAAATGTTGGTATATCCCAACTGTTGTTAACAGAGCTGATCCAGCAAATTTACCTGCCTGAACACATCTCCCTTTACGAACCACTGCGGAAATTAAGATCTTCTGGGGAGGCCCTGCTCTCGGTCCCGCCACCATCACAGGCGCGTTTGGCAGGGACGAGAGACAGGGCCTTCTCAGTGATTGCCCCCCGGCTATGGAACTCCCTTCCTGGCAATATTAGATCAGCCCCTCCCTCCTGTCCTTCAGAAGGATGGTGAAGACCTGGCTGTGGGACCAAGCCTTTGGGGCAGTGCAATGAGGCAAAATGGTGTCCTGAGATGGTTTTTAAGCAACTTTTAATGTGAATATAAGTGATTTTAATGTTTGTATATATTTATGGTTTTATGTCCCGGCATTGAATGTTTGCCATATATATGTTGTGCTCCGCCCTGAGTCCCCTGCAGGGTGAGAAGGGCGGAATATAAATGTTTTAAATAAAAATATAATGTTTGTTTGTGGGATTAACATAACTCAAAAACCACTGGATGAATTGACACCAAATTTGGACACAATACACCTCTCAGGCCAATGGGTGTCCATCACTCCTAAAAACGCACAAAAAACCCCAGCAGAATGGACTTAAAAACCCCCAAAATAAACTATATATACATATACACATACACTCATATACATATACACATGCACACATACATGCACATACACACATATATTTACATATACACATGCACACATACACACATACACATATAGACATACATACACACAAAATACACAAGCACACACATATGCTCAATATACATATACACATATAAACATAGAAATACACAAATATATACACACATATACACACATATGCACACACACATATACACCCATCTATCTATCTATATATCTATATGCAAACACACATATATACACATATACACAAATATATACACACACATAAACACATATATACACACACAAAACATATACACAGACTGGGCCACACCAATGTGTGGCAGGGGACAGCTAGTGTCTTAAATAAATAAACAAATAAATGAACAATTGTAACCTTAAATACACATACAAACTAGGTGAATGAATACTCAGTCTCAAAAGCAGAGTAGTGTGTAAAGTCAGAGTAGACAGGGCAAGAGAACAGATAATTTCTATCATTAGTATCCCTTATACAGGAAAGGTGCTTGAGCACGTGGTGATAGGACAACTTCAGACATTTTTGGAGAAAACAAATTATCTTGACTCATTTCAAGGCCAGGACACAGAGTGAAGCAGACTTAATTGCTTTCACTAACAACCTATTCCCAATGAAAGACAATGCAAATGTTATGCTCTTGATCTTCTTGGATGCTAATAATCAACATGAAAATGAAGTTATCAAAATGAAGTTCAACAGGTACAAATGCAAGATACCCCACTCAGGCAGAAAAAATGAAATGCAAACATACAGAATGGGGGACGCCTGGCTTGACAGCAGTACGTGTGAAAAAGATCTTGGGAGCCCTCATGGACAACAGGTTATAAACATGAGCCGACAATGTCATGCGGCAGCTAAAAAAGGTCAATGGGATTTTGGCCTGCACAAATAGGAGTCTCGTGTTTACATCCAGGGAAGTCATGCTACCCCTCTATTCTGCCTTGGTCAGACCACATCTAGAATCACACTGTGTCCAATTCTGGACACCGCAATTTAAGGGAGATGTTGACAAGCTGCAATGTGTCCAGAGGAAGGTGACTAAAATGATCAAGGGTCTGGAGGATTAACTTAAAGAGCTGGGTATATTTAGCCTAGAGAAGAGAAGGCTGAAAGGAGACATGATGGCCATTGTATAAATATGTGAGGAGAAGTCATAGGGAGGAGGGAGCAAGCTTGTTTTCTGCTGCCCTGGAGACTAGGACGAAGAACAATGGCTTTAAACTACAGGAACTTCCTAACTGTGGGAGCTGTTCACCAGTGGAACTCTCTGCCTCAGGGTGTTGTGGAGGCTCCTTCTTTGGAGGCTTTTAAACAGGCTGGATGGCCATCTGTTGGGGGTGCTTTGAATGCAATTTTCCTGCTTCTTGGCAGGGAGTTGGACTGGATGGCCCATGAGGTTTCTTCCAACTCTATGATTCTATGACTTGGGAGCTTTTCATAGCATTTATCATAGGTTTGCATTTTATCTCCCATGGTGTTTACTATTTGTATGAAGCTATTTGGTGATGTCATAAGGGTTTCGAGATGGAATGTTAACAGAGTGCTGACAATATCTGGATCTATTTTGTCTTGTCACTGGAATCAGCTGAGGCTAACCAGGTGTTTAATCAGTGCTGGATGCTGTAAGAGACTGAATAAGAACAAATAAATATGAGTCTGAAACCCATCAAGCCAGGAGTCCAGTCCTGGAGAACCCTAAAAGGAACTGACTGGAAGTGTTGTCCAGTCTAGTGCTACACAAAATGATCTGTGGAGCAGTGTGCCAACTTGAGAGCCGCAGGTTGCCAGTCCATCGCACGTTTTCAGGCAAATAAGAAACAATTATTACCAGTGGTTCTGGTTCCTGGCACATTGGGGAATAGAACTGCTAGTTCCCCATGTCAGGAAGCTAAGCTCTGTGAAGCACATAGACAATAACATGTTATAAAATTGTAGTTTAAAATGGAATTCATCACGTTGACTAAATAATTATTATAACATTCATTTTTTTCCAATGTAATGTCTTTAGCTAGCTTTCAAATGACCACTATAGCTGCTATTAACTGTTAAAGGGCGTATACATTTTTGAGACACTCTGTATGTGTGTATAAACAAAAAAGGGAGGCTGAAGTTACACTTTAAAAACATATCTGTTCTGATTTACATACAAATTCAACTTAAAAACAAACCTACAAATCTGGGGCATGCATGTATATATATAGAGGGGGGGGATTATAAATTGTTTTCCTTTGACATTAAGTCCAGTCGTGTCCGACTCTGGGGGTTGCTGCTCATCTCCATTTCTAAGCCGAAGAGCCGGTGTTGTCCGTAGACACCTCCAAGGTCATGTGGCAGGCATGATGGCATGGAGCGCCGTTATCTTCCTGAGCAGTACCTATTGATCTACTCACATTTGCATGTTTTCAATCTGCTAGGTTGGCAGAAGCTGGGGCTAACAGTGGGAGCTCACACCACCCTCCACATTTGAACCTGTGACCTTTTGATTTGCAAGTTCAGCACATCAGTGGTTTAACCCACTGTGCCACCAGGGGATCCATGTGTGCACACACATACATATGCACATATGAAGCAGCAATATGTAGAATTCCTACTGCGAGCAAGGTGTTGGCCCTGCACCCATTAGCATCAACAGTTTCCAAAAGAAACTCCAGGTATTATGAAAACTAAAGAAACCAATAAATGGAAACAAAAATTAACAAAATTAACAAAAACTACTCATTATGAAAACAAAAGAGCGAGCAGGGCTGGAGGGTAAGCATGAATGGGCTCTAAACTGTACAGCATAAGCCTAATTATTCAAAGAAACATTTCAGTTACCTCCAAAGAGCTCCTGAACATCTTCAGGAAGGGTACCTCCAGCAGCTTGCATGTGGGAACTTAAAAACAAGCCCAAAACTCAGCTGTGGCTGTTTGTTTCTGTCACTGTTAGCAAACTCTAAAGAAGAAAGGAAACTTCAGAGGTACAACCAACTAAGAAAACATATGGGGAGGAGCCATTCATTTTGAAAGCTCCTCCTTTGCAGCTGCAACAACTTCCAGCACAAAAAGGAAGCCTGAATGAGTTTGTGGCATTCAAGCTTACCTCTTGATTTTAAAGCCTGAGAGCCCTTCCACACAGCCATATAACCCAGAATATCAAGGTGGAAAATCCTACAATATCTGCTTTGAACTGGGTTATTTGACTCCACATTGCCATATATTCCAGTTCAAAGCAGAAAATGTGGGATTTTTTTTCAGCTGTGTGCAAGGGGCCTGAATTCAAGAGGAATCTGCATACCTGGGAATAAGGTCATGACCTAAGCAGGACTTTCTTTCAAGCAGGAAGTTATAGGACATCAATGTTAATAGGACCAAAACCTGCTCTTTCACATCCTCCAGCATTTCACAGGTGAAAACTGGAAAGCACCTGCCAAAGCAACATCAGAGTGTAGTCAAGATGGAAGACATTAGTTATGAGGAAAAACAGACAAGCGAGGAGAAGGTGCAGCAGTTTGCCTGAGCTTAGCCTGAGCTTAGTAGGAAGCCTATTTTTACCTCTCCATCTACCCCCATTATTTGAGTGTAAGCAAGCAACTTCTGCACTTTGAACTGGATTTCCAGAATCTGAAGTAACCCGAGGTCAAAGAAGGGAAAGTAGGATATATTTAAGCTGCTAAAACTATGGATTAATTTAGTCAGTCCTTGCCAAATAGAAAGAGTTGAGAGAGTAGACTCTTTTGGATTGTAATCCTGTGTTACTTCATAACTTGTAAAATGTCTTAAACCAACCCAGTTGCATTTGGCTAGATTTTGCCAATTTTTCAAAGTAGCACCACTCAGGTGAAATGAAAGACAGAGCTCCAGACACTTTACCAGTGCTGTAGAAGAGATAATTTTACAAGTGCTGAATTTCCTTATTAAACTGGTCTGTTAAAGGCACAGGACTCCTGTGCCTTGCTTTACCCGACAACTCCACAACTGCATTTTAGAGTAGATTATTATGATTCTTAATTTACTGCCAATACTTCTAATTTTATCAAAGCTACAACTCCTCTGTTGCGCCAGCTCCATTGGCTGCCAGTTTGCTACCGGGCACAATTCAAAGTGCTGGCTTTAGCCTATAAAGCCCTAAACGGTTCTGGCCCAACTTACATGTTCGAACGCATCTCCCCTTATGAGCCATCTAGGACCTTAAGATAATCTGGGAAGGCCCTGCTCTCATTACCACCTTTGTCACAAGTACTTTTGGCGGAGACAAGAGACAGAGCCTTCTTGGCGATGGCCCCTTGGCTGTGGAACGCCCTCCCTATAGATATTAGATCAGCCACCTTCCTTTCAACATTCCGGAAAAAAGTCAAAACGTGGCTTTTTGAACAAGCGTTTCCAAATGCAGAGTAACTGACATAGGAAAATGGAACAACGACAATGAGACCAGACAACATTTTCAACAAGGAGTCACTATGAATTTATATTTTATTGATATGTTTAATTTTTATTATATACTAGCTGACCCCTGCCATGCGTTGCTGTGGCCCAGTCTGTTGATCTGGAAAATAAAGTAATGAGAAAGTGTTGGTTTCTAATATATGTAATGTCTTTATGCTTGTGGGTAAACAGTATTTCTTGCTGTTTCTTTGTCAGTGTTGATGTGGAGATTCTCTGGTTTGCCCACCCTGGAACATGCAACACATCATTGTTCTTCTTTAAGGTCCCTTTCAAATCTATGATACTATATCTCTCTGTGTGTGAATCATTTCTATCTATCTAATCTATGACTGGATGGCTCTTTGTCAGAAGGACTTTGATTATGTTTTCTTGCCCTGATGAAGGGAGTTGGATTGGATGACCTTAAGTATTTTTGTTGGTCATGGGGGTTCTGTGTGGGAAGTTTTCCCCGATTCTGTCATTTGTGGCGTTCAGAATGCTCTTTGATTGTAGGTGAACTGTGAATCCCAGTGACTACAGCTCCCAAATGTCAAGGTCTATTTCCACAAAACTCCATCTGTTTTCATATTTGGGAGTATTAAGTGCTTGTGCCAAGTTTGGTGCAGATCCATCATTGTTTGATTCCACAGTGCTCTCTGGATGTAGGTGAACTACAACTCCCAAGCTCAAGGTCAATGCCCACCAAACCTTCCAATATTTTCTGTTGGTCATGGGAGTTCTGTGTGCCAAGTTTGGTTCAGTTCCATCATTGATGAAGTTCAGAATGCTCTTTGATTGTAGGTGAACTATAAATCCCAGCAACTACAACTCCCAGATAACAAAATCAATTCCTCCCAATCCCACCAGTATTCAGATTTGAACATATTTTTTTTGAGTGATGGTCACTCCTTGTGTTGTGAGACGTTTTGATGCCAAATTTGGTGTGATTTCGTTCATTGATTCTTTTGTTTTTAAGGTATTCATTACACACAGAGCATAGATAGATAGATAGATAGATAGATAGATAGATAGATAGATAGATAGATAATGTTTTTAATTGTATTTATGATATTGTAAGCATTGAATTTTACCCTGTTAACTGCCTTGAGTCGCCTACAGGCTGAGAAAGGCAGTGTACAAATAAAGTCAATAAATAAATAAATAAATACACAGCTCTTCTCCCCCATTTAATCGTTTCAATCACTCCGTGAGATAGATTAACCTGAGAGTAAGTGACCAGCCCAAGGTCAACCTATAAGTTTTCATGTGTCAGTGAGAACATAAATCTCTGAAATCTAGAATCATAGAATTGGAAGAGACCTTGTGGACCATCCAGTCCAACTCCCTGTCAAGAAGCAGGAGAATCACATTCAAAGCACCTCTGACAGATGGCTATCCAGCCTCTGCTTAAAAGCCCCCAAAGAAGGAGCCTCCAGAACACTCCTGGATAGAGAGTTCCACTGGTGAACTGCTCTCACGGTCAGGAAATTCTTCCTAATGTTCAGGTGGAATCTCCTTTCCTGTAGTTTGAAACCATTGATCCATGTCCTAGTCTCCAGGGCAGCAGAAAACAAGCTTGCTCCCTCCTCCCTATGACTTTCCCTCATATATTTATACATAGCTATCATGTCTCCTTTCAGCCTTCTCTTCTGCAGGCTAAACATGCCCAGCTCTTTAAACTGCTCCTCCTAGGGCTTGTTCTCCAGATCCTTGATCATTTTAGTTGCCCTCCTCTGGACATATTCCATCTTGTCAACATCCCCCTTCAATTGTGGTGCTCAGAATTGGATATAGCCAAGGCAGAATAGAGGGGTAGCATGACTTCCCGGGATCTGGACACTATACGCTTAATATACAGCATGAACATTTTATACCCCGTTTCTATGCTTTTGCTCACAAAAGAAAATGTATATTCTACTGACTTATTCTTTTGTAAGTGTGTATAGAACCGAAGACTTAAATACATGTAGTTATTAGTCAGTCTGAGCAGCTGCAAAGAAACAAAATGGACCTGGTTTCTGAAGTTTAGGGTGAAGGAAGTTGAAAAGAGGAAAACGGATGTGGTATATTTGAAACAGATAGAGCACAAGATTAATTGCCAGATGGTTCTGTCAAGATGAAAGAAGCATCCTCTTATAAAAATTGCTGTCCCTAAATGACTTAACCCAAGTTTAAAGTCAGGAACCTGGAAATTTAGACGGCAGCTGATTTATAAAATGTTCGTGCAAACTAAAGAAAATATTTATTTATTGCATTTCTATACCATTCTTCTCACCCAAGGGGAAGGGGGGGGGGCTCAGAATGGTGTACAACATGATAAAATGGCAAAAATTCAATGCTGAAATAAATATAAAAGCAATACACAACATAACTAAATCAACATATAAATATGTATTCAAACTATTAAAAATTAAACAAAGACACATCATAACTTGAACATAAAACCTAGTAGACATTGCACCAATCTCATGGTTATCATTTAGCTGCTTCAGTCTTACTATCATTCACCAAACACCTGCTTGCACAGCCAGATTTTAAAGGTTTTTTTTTCTGAAAATCAGGAGGGAGAGGGCTGATCTAATCTCACTGAGGAAGGAGTTCCACAGCTGAGGAACCACCACCAAGAAGGCCCTGTCCCTCATCCCCACCAATCGCACCTGCAAAGGCAGCAGGACCAAGAGCAGGACCTCCCTGGCCGATCTTAGTGCTTGAACTGGTTCATAAAGGGAAATACGTTCGGACAAGTAAGCTGCACCGGAACCATTTAGGGCTTTATAGGTCAAAGCCAGCTATAATAGAGCCGAGACTTGATTTTCCATACTTCTTGATTTTCTCATAGTCATTATTCAAGCTGACAGATTTAATAATAATAATAATAATAATAATAATAATAATAATAATAATAATAATCTTTATTTATACCCCACCACCATCTCCCCCAACAGGGACTTGGGGTGGCTCACATGAGGCCAAGCCCAAACAACAAATTACAATAAAATTTAAGTCGAATTCCATATTGCACTACTCCTCAAATGCCTGGTTACAAAGTCAGGTCTTTAGCTTTTTCCTGAAGACCAAGAGGGATGGGGCCTTCCTTATGTCAATGGAGAGGGAGTTCCACAGCTGAGGGGCCACCACTGAGAAGGCCCTGTGTCTCATCCCCACCAATTGCACTTGTGAAGGGAGTGGAACAGAGAGCAGGGCCTCCCCAGCAGATCTTAAAGCTCTAGTTGGCTTATAAAGGCCAACACGTTCAGATAGGTAAGCTAAACCGGAACCGTTTAGGGATTTAAAGGCTAAAGCAGTGGTTCTCAATCTGTGGGCCGCGAGAACGAAAATCCGGTCAGTGAACCTCCTTCCTCTTTATTTATTTTATTTCCGCTCCTTTCTGCAGAGCTAACCAACCCGTCCCTTTTGGTACTAATGTTGGGGAGTGATCCCTGGTCAAATCAAAGTGAGCCCTGGTCATAAAAAAGGTTGGGAACCATTGGTAAAGCCAGCACTTTGAATTGTGCTCAG